ATTAGAATTAATTTTACCTGTTTCTTTTTACTTTTTAGCAAATGTCATTATTTAGAAAAATTATTTTCTCAATTCATTTTTTTCCAAATTTTATTACATTGTTGTCATTGAGAATATACACACCAAAACATAACACCAATTCAACAGCTTCTACATGTACAATTTAGTGACATTGATTACATTCTTCGAGTTGTGCAATCATTCTCACTCTCCTTTTTGGACTTGTTCATCCCTCATTAACATAAACTCACTGCCCACCCTAAGGCTCCTAGCTTATCTTTCGAGTTGCTGTTGTCAATTTGATCCACATAGATAGTTTTTAAAAGAGCATAATGCTCAAAACCAAAAAACCAAACCCCTTGCCGTCAAGTCGATTCCGACTCATAGCGACCCTATAGGACAGAGTAGAACTGCCCCATACGGTTTCCAAGGAGCGCCTGGTTGATTCGAACAGACAACCTTTTGGTTAGCAAACGTAGCTCTTAACCACTAGTTAAGCTAACCTATCGTTCAGTTTTAAGATGAGTTCTGGGATATTTTTGGTTTAAGGTTTAAAAATTATCTCAGGGCACTAGTTTCAGGGGTTCATTCACCCTCCCTGGCTCCAGAAAGTCTAGCTGTTGTTGTTAGGTGCTGCTGAGTCGGTTCCAACTCAGAGTGACCCTATGTACCACAGAACAAAACACTGCCGGGTCCTTTGCCATGCTCATAATTGTTTTTATGCTTCAGCCGATTGTTGCAGCCACTGTGTGAATCCATCCTGTTGAGGGTCTTCTTTTTTGCTGACCCTGTACTTTACCAAGCATGATGTCCTTCTCCAGGGACCGATCCTTCCTGACAACATGTCCAAAGTATGTAAGACATAGTCTCACCATCCTTGCTTCTAAGGAGCATTCTGGTTGTCTTTCTTCCAAGACAGATTTGTTCGTTCTTGGTGGTCCATGGTATATTCAATATTCTTCACCAACACCACAATTCAAAGGCATCAGTTCTTCTTAGGTCTTCCTTATTCACTATCCAGCTTTTGTATGCATATGATGCGATTGAAAATACCATGGTTTGGGTCAGGCACACCTTAGTCTTCAAGGTGGTATCTTTGCTTTTCAACACTTTAAAGAGGTCTTTTGCAGCAGATTTGCCCAATGCAGTGGTCTTTTGATTTCTTGACTGCTGCTTCCAAGTAAAATTAAATCCTTAACAACTTCAATCTTTTCTCCATTTATTGTGATGTTGCTTATTGGTCCAGTTGTGAGGATGTTTGTTTTCTTTATGTTGAGGTGTAATCCATACTGAAGTCCGTGGTCTTTGATCTTCATCGGTAATTGCTTCAAGTCCTCTTCACTTTCAGCAAGCAAGGTTGTGTCATCTGCATATCATAGATTGTTAATGAGCCTTCCTCCAATCCTGATGCCACATTCTTCTTCATATAGTCCAGTTTCTCAGATTTTTGCTCAGCATACAGATTGAGTAAGTATGGTGAAAGGATACAACCCTGACAAACACACCTTTCCTGACTCTAAACCACGCAGTATCCCTTTGTTCTGTTCAAACAACTGCCTCTTGATCTAGGTATAGGTTCCTCATGAGCACAGTTAAGTGTTCTGGAATTCCCATTCTTCACAATGTTATCCATAATTTGTTATGATCCACACAGTGGAATGCCTCTGCATAATCAATAAAACACAGGTAAACATCTTTCTGGTATTTTCTGCTTTCAGCCAGGATCCATCTGATATCAGCAATGATATCCCTGGTTCCACATCCTCTTCTGAATCCAGTCTGAATTTCTGGCAGTTCCCTGTCGATATACTGCTGCAGCTGCTTTTGAATGATCTTCAGGAAAATTTTACTTGCGTGTGACATTGTTCGATAATTTTCACATTCAGTTGGATCACCTTTCTTGGGAATAGGCATAAATATGGATTTTTCCAGTTGGTTGGCCAGGAGGCTGTCTTCCAAATTTCTTGGTATAGATGAGTGAGCACTTCCAGCACTGTATCTGTTTGTTGAAACATCTCAATTGATATTCCATCAATTCCTGGAGCCTTGTTTTTCGCCAGTGCCTTCAGTGCAGTTTGGACTTCTTCCTTCAGTACCATCGATTCCTGATCATATGCTACCTCCTGAAATGGCTGAACATCAACCAGTTCTTTTCAGTATAATGACTCTGTGTATTCCTTCTATCTTCTTTTTATGCTTCCTGTATTGTTTAATATTTTCCCCATAGAATCTTTCACTGTTGAAACTCGAGATTTGAATTTTTTCTTCAGTTCTTTCAGCTTGAGAAATGCCACGTGTGTTCTTCCCTTTTGGTTTTTTATCTCCAGCTCTTTGCACATGTCATTTTAATACTTTACTTTATCTTCTCGAGCTGCCCTTTGAAATCTTCTGTTCAGTTCTTTTTTCATCATTTCCTCCTTTTGCTTTAGCTACTCAACGTTCAAGAGCAAGTTTCAGAGTCTCTTCTGACATCCATTTTGGTCTTTTCTTTCTTTCCTGTATTTTTAATGACCTCTTGCTTTCTTCATGTATGATGTCCTTGATGTCATTCCACAACTTGTCTGGTCTTCAATCATTAGTGTTCAGGAAAGTCTAGAGTCCATGAGAATTTGCAATTCTGTTCTTAATTTTCCCCCGTTTGATGAGGATTCTTCTATAGTTCAGAAATGGTAGCTGGGCACCATCCAGTTCCTTTGGTCTCATGGCAAAGAAGGCAGTTGTTCATGGAGGCAAGTAGCGACACACTCTATGTTGTTGTTGTTAGGTGCCGTCGAGTCGGTTCCTACTGATAGTGATCCATGCACAACAGAATGAAACACTGCCAGGTCCTGCACCATCTTCACAATCGTTACGCTTGAGCCCATTGTTGCAGCCACTGTGTCAATCCATCTCATTGAGGGTCTTCCTCTTTTTTGTTGACCCTCTACTTTATCAAGCATGATGTCCTTCTCCAGGGACTGGTCCCTCCTAATAACATGTCCAAAGTTAACATTTCATATAGTCCTCCTATTCCTGACTCTCCTTGTTCCTCTTTTGCTCCAGGTAGAGACCAATTGTTGTGACTTGGATGGCCGCTTGTAAGCTTTTAAGACCCCAGGCATGATGCAAGGAACTAGGAGGTAGAACAGAAGTGCTAAACACATTATTAGGCCAATTAACTGGGATGTCCCATGAAACCTTGTCGCTAAATCTTCCAACCAAGGAACCAAATCCCATAAGGTGTTTGGTTGTACATAAGCAGCCTCAGCAGCTACTCTTGTTTTTGTTTTGTTTTTTTTTCTGTCACTGTCATTATTAGAAAACTTTAAATTACATATGTGGCTCGCATTCTGTTTCTTTTGGACAGCACTGGGAGAGTCAAGTGCATGGCAGAAGCGGTTGGGGTGTGTGTGTGCTGGAGGGAGGGGAGATGCAGCCAGGCAGGGAGTAGTTTATTAGGGCCAGATTGTGAAAGAACAAGACGATTTCCTCTGGGCGACTATACAGGAAAGAAGTCAGAGAAAACAGAATGCGCAAAGATCCAAAGGTGTGGGCAGGCACGTTGTGTTTAGAAAATTCATCCTTATAGTATGACTTAAAAAGAAAAACTAAAGAAGGATTTGTTAAGTGTTTACTTTTAGCCAGGCATTGATAGCTGGCCTTTAACATCTATTACTTTATCTTTACAACTAACCGGTGAAGGGGAGATTATTCGATTTTACCAAAGAAAGAACTGAGGCTCAGAAAGCTCAAGATATTTATCCCCGGAGCTCATCCTCCTTTTTATGTGGAAAGCCTCTTGAAGACAGGGAACCCCCACCGTCTTAAACGCCTGAGTTTTTCTCCAGAGCATCTAGCACGGGGTTCTGCACGTGGTCGGCGCTCAGAAGTTTGATTTGAACCAAGAATATGAATTCCCAAGTCAGACCTCCGCGCAAGGTGTGGGAGTAGAAGCACCAGAGGGCGCCCACGAGTCCGTACACCGACTCAGACCCCGACCTCAGGCCGCCGCCTGGGTGCGGCCCTTCAGCCTCTAGCAGTTGCGCGACCCGGCGGGAAGATGCAGCGAGAAGAGCCCCACGTCCTCCGTCCGCCCCGCCCCCTCTCCAGAGCCGCGCCGAGCCGCCGGGTGCAGAACGACGACACGACATCCTGTTTTTGGGTCCGCGGCTCCGCCTGCGCCTCTGCTGATCTTGTCTTTCCCCGGGTGCTGACGCCAGCTCCCCTTCCCCCAGTCTCCCCCGCCTCCAGGGGTCTGGGGCCTTCCCACTACTGAATCACCACCGCCCCGCAATCCCCCGGGGCTCGGGGCAAGGGTGGGGACTGCCCCAGTCTAACCTATTCTGCCCATTCCCCAGCTGCATCCATTGCCCGATCCGATCCCTGGGTTTGGCAGAAGTCACCAGGCCTAGGGGCGCCTTTTCTTAGCATCTTCCCGCAAGGGGTGGGAGGGACGAGATACAGGGGTGGGGGACAAATGCCTAGCGCCTAAGCTTAGGCCTCTGCTGTGACGGGAACCTAGAAAGAGGCGGGGAGGCCTGACTTTGGGAGGCTTGACCTTAAGAGGCTCGGGCCAGTGAGCTGAAGGGAACGCAGGGAGCCTCGGACTAGGCAGGGGGCGAGGCTGAGGGTCGGGGGCAAGGCGGGGAGAAGGTGAGGCTGGGAGGACGGGCCGCGGACTTCCTGGTCGCGCCCCGCGCTCGTCCCCGCGCCCCGCCTCCGCGCCCCTCCCCGGCCGGCAGGCCCGCCCCCCCCACTTCCTCCGGCCTCCCGCTCTCACTTCCTTCTTGAGCCCGGAGACGCTGCCGCCGCCGCCCCCAGCTCCCCCGCCGTGGGGAGGGCACCAGGTGAGGCCGGGCCCGGGCTGGAGGTCTGGGGGCCCGGGGGAGGGGAGCTCGTCCAGCGCGGAACGGGGCGCAGGCGCCGGCCGAGGAAGTTTGCTTGCGGGAGGCCGCGGGCGGGAGGTTCTCAGCTCACTCCAAGTTGGGCGGGCGCGGCCGGCCGGGCAGGGCGGGGACCGGGCCACCGCGAGCCAGCGGCGGCTCGGTGAGGGTGGGTTCCCAGTAGCTGTACCGGCTCCCAGGAGCCAGGGGGGCCCCCTGAGGCCGGCGTGTTTCCCGCGCAGGGAGAAAAGTCTCTCTGAAGTGGAGGTCCTCAGAGCTAGGATGTGGGACCCAGAGGTGGGGGTGCCCACAGTTGTCGAGAGAGGGTGGTGACCATAGTGTGTGAGGGGAGAGGGTCTTGGCTGGAGAAGGTGCCCCCTCTACTCGGGCAATTGTGACATTTGTGAAATTCAGAGGGGGGCGGTGTCTGGGGCTTGCGAAGCCCAGAGACTGCAGAGAAAGAGCTCCCTCCCTGGGAGAACGAGATCACCCCATACCCACACTCTGCAGCCGAAAGAACCCGGAGGGAACCCCACCGACCTCAGTCCGTCTCTCTGTGTGTCTGTTTCTCTGAGGCCCAACCTCTCCATCCCTGGAGCCAAGCAACAGGTATTTAGTGAGCAAACATCTGCTGTGCCTAGCTGACGAGTGTCTGGACTTGCTCTGTGGTGGGTAAACTGAGGAAGGAAAAGGCTGGTCTTGTCCTGTGACTGGAGGTGGAAGGACTCTAATTCAGAGATACTGAGAGTTGGACAAGATGGCATAACTGAGAGTAGAACTGTTTTCAGGAAATGGAGAAAATAGGGCTTCTGAGAGGCTCAGGGTCTCTGGCCTTCTGGGAACTGTTGGGAGCCATCTCCTAGTCTTCACCCCATTCTTAGTCCCTGAATTCTACACACATTGTCATTCTCTCTCCATCCTTTCTTTAGCCTCTGCTCACAAACCCTGCATCACACTGTCCTCTCATCCCCTTCAGTCTCCTTTCCCCCAAATCACAGCCCTGATCTCTCCTCACCTACTCTGCCCCTCTATCATCTCAGTCCTCTGCTGCATCCCCCCTCCTGTCCCTGCCCAGCTTCTGGCTCCCCACCATCTTGCTCCTTCCATCTCCCCTCATTCTCATGATCTCAACCTGTCAGCCTCTCTCTGTCACCTTCCCTTTCAGCCACTTCTCTCCAGCTTTGGGGTCAGGATCTGCTGTAGAAGACTTGGTGAGTTTGAGAGCCTTTTCAAACCTCCACAGCCTCTAGAGGCGTGCTGCAACCTCCCAGTGATGGAGATGATTAAAGGGCTGGAAAACCTCTGTGTGTGTGTGCATGTGTGCAAGTGTCTGTGTGTCCGTATCTTTATCTTGGAGACAACCAAATAACTGCTCTCAGCCCTTGAGAGGGCCCAGAGCAGGGGAAGCCAGCAGAATGAAGGGAGCCTACAGTGGATGAGCTTGTGGTTAGGCAGGAGGAAGCAGTCCATAGCAGTCAGGGTAGGGTGACACAGGAATAAGACTGATGAGAGAGGCCATGGGAAATCAAAATCGCCTAGACCTTTGAGTGCTTAACCAAGAAGCCAGTCCTGAAGGCTGGGGGACAGTGTCCTTAGGAGATGGAGTCCCTGGCTCCAACGCTTCCTGGTTATACCACCACCTGGTTCTACCACCACCTCGTAGGAAGAATAGGACCAGGTCAGCTAGGTGTGATGGAAGGAAAGGGAGCAAAGGCAGGATTCTAAAAGGAAGACTGCAGCTGGTCTAACTTCAGTCTTGGCTGCTTTCATTTCAGTTCAGCAGAAGAAGAGGGGTGTGAGGCAAAGGTGTCTGTCCCTCTTCCCTCCTGCCTTCCAGGGCCTGCCCAGACTGGGTACTCATATGTCCTGGTCCTTGGTGACCAGGAAGCCCTCTGGAGTTCTGCTGACCCCTCTTGTTGCCTTTAGCCATTCTTAATATAACCCCCTATCACCTAGGACCCTACTCCCTCTCTTTCACGAATTTCTTCCTAGTCTGATTGTAGCCTAGCCTGGCTTTGTAAGCTCTTTTTGTTCCCCTTCTAGAGCTCCTTCCTCAAGCCTTTGAGATATATGCTAAGGGATCCTGCTTGTTTGTCTCTAGCTCCTCCAGTCTGCTCTACTCCTATCTACTAGAAAAAAGAGAAGAGGAGGGGAGCAGGTACTACTCTTTGGGGTTCCTAGGCACAGCTAAATTTAAGGGTTCTCCCCATTCCCCATCCCATCGTATCCTCTTCCCTTCTCACAGTTGTCCCTCTCCCATGAGTTGTTCCTCCTTCCAGTCCTGCCCTTCCACCTACCTGTCTCTCCTCTTATTTCTGGGAGGTGCAGGGAGTTTGACCCCCGGCGGAAATCCCAGGGAGGGGCTGGCCTTGCATAAAATTCCAGCCCAGAGAAGGATGTGCATGGAAGACACTTTCCCGGCATCAGGGTTCAGTAAAAAAACCACCCAAGAGTTCTGACACACAAGAGTTCAGCATTTTACATAACTGAGCAACTCACAGGACTCTGAGGGTGAAGATAGGATGGATGAGATGAGTTCTCCCAGCCAAGATCTGGCCCTGGAGGTTTGAGCTAATTGCAAGAAAATTGTTACTGGAAAAATACGACAGGGGTGGGAAGAATCTAATTGGGAAAATATCATGGGCGGGGGGCATTGCTTACAACCTAGAAGACAGCTGTTGAAGTCTTGACTAAAGAAATATTGTCAAGGTCATGGCATGAAAAGAAGTGGCTGATGTGAAGTTGTTACAGATCCTGGTTGAGCATCTGGGACAATAGGGGGTTGCTTCTGGCAAAATGTTAGGGCAGAAGTGGCTGGTGTAAGCTTTTAGGGGCTCATGAGCCAGAAGATATGAGACGTTGTGGTAGCTGGCAAACTGGGAAGAACAGGGAGCCCTGGCAGTGAATTTATGTTAATGGAGGAGGAACAGTTCCAAAAAGGAGGGTGAGAATGGTTGCACATCTTGAAGAACGTAATCAGTGTCATTAAATGGTACATGTAGAAACTGCTGAATTGGTATATGTTTTGCTGTGTATATTCTCAACAACAGCAACAAAATTTAAAAAAAATCCTATGGAGCACAGTTCTATTCTGACACACATGAGGCTGCCATGAGTTAGAATCAACTGGATGGCAACTGGTTTTTTTTTAACATTTTATTGTGGTTTGGGTGAAAGTTTACAGAGCAAATTAGTTTCCCATTCAACAATTTATACACGTTTCGTGACTTTAGTTGCAATCCCCAATGTGACAGCACTCTACCCACTTCCTCCCTAAGTTCCCCGTTTCCATTTGCCCATCTTTCCTGTGCCTTCCTGCCTTCTGAACTTTGTATTTGGGCAAATGCTGCCCTTTGGTCTGGTATGGTTGATTGTTCCGAGGAACATGTTCCTCACAAGTGTTACTGTTCGCTTTATAAGTCTGTCTTTTGTTTGGCTGAAAGGATCTTCGGGAGTGGATTTAGTTCCAGGTTTGCAGGGTGTCTAAGGGCCACAGTGGAAACCCTGGTAGCATACTGGTTAAGAGCTACGGCTGCTGACCAAAAGGTCAGCGATTCCATTTCACCAGGCACTCCTTGGAAACCCAATGGGGCAGTTCTACTCTGTCTTATAGGGTTGCTATGAGTCGGAATCGTCTTGATGGCAACAAGTTTGGTTTTTGGTTTTAAGGGCCACACCCACGGGGGTTCTGCCAGTCTCTATCAGACCAGTAAGTCTGGTCTTTTTTATGAATTTGAATTTTGTTCTACATTTTTCTCCCACTCTGTCTAGGACCTTCTATTGTGATCCCGATCAGAGCGGTTGGTAGTGGTATACAGGCACCATCTAGTTCTTCTGGTCTCAGGCTAGCAAAGGCTGTGGTTCATGTGGTCCATCAGTCCTTTGGACTAATTGTTTCCTTGAGTCTTTGATTTTCCTCATTCTTCTTTGCTCCGGACAGGAAGATACCAATAGTTGTATCTTAGATGGCCACTCACAAGCTTTTAAGACCTCAGTTGCTACTCACCAAATAGGATTTAGAACATTGTCTTTACAGACTGTGTTATGCCTATTGACCTAAGTGTCCCCCAAGACTATGGTCGTTAGACCTAAAGCCCAGTGACTCAGTTCCTCAAGGTGTTTGGTTATGGTTAAGGCGTTTTCATAACTTTGTCCCCTGTGTGCTCTGCTATATATATGAATATCTTGGAGCACATACAACTGGTCTGGTTTTGGTATATAGTAAAGGAATACCCAATCTCAAAAAAAAAAGAGGGGGTGGCTCAGACTGAAGACCTCATCCTCTATACGCAGTATAGACCCATTACTGGTGAAGCTTATAGGGGTCTGTGAGAAGGGCCAGGGAGGGAAACCAAAGACACAGCCTAGGCCACCTCCCCAGGCCAGACTGGTTTTCCCGTCCAGGGTCCAGCTTCCTCTTTTGCCCTCATTTTGTAAGGGCATTTCCCTAAGAGCTAGCGGCCAGAGGAGGAGCTCCTCAGCTGGGCCAGGGCCAGGGTGGCAATCTGTTCAGTAATGTCAGTTCTAGCCCCAGGATGGGCTAGGTATGAGGGCCTGGGAACTTGGAAGCAAAAAGGGCTCAGAAATGAACCTGATCCTTTTGGCCTATTTTCATTCTTAAACGGATGAACTATGGTAGGGTCATTCTAAATGAGGTCAGAGAGATGTTGGACCCATTCCCAAGTGGGAGTAACAATCCCCACCTTCTCTCCTTTGTGGAAGTGACATCAGGCTGGAGGTCAGGAGACCCAGGTCCTTGTCCTGGATTTGCTATCAGCTCTCTAACCCTGGTCAACTTAGTCCCTCTGGGCTAGGTTTCAGCACTAAGTAGTTGCATATCAATACTTCAAGAGGTATAGTGAATACTCTCCCTTCCCCAGGAGGCCTCTCACAGCAGTGCCCCCTACTCTGGTCCCTCATGTCTTACCAGCCTTGATCTGACAGTGTTCCCTGTAAGTTTTTGTCCAGGGTCAAGAACTGTGTTTCCCCAAAGCACAAGGGTTGTTGTAGGTTGAGAACTTCAAGAAGAGAGCAGAGAGTGCTGGGGATTTTGCCAGGGGGCTGCAAGGTAAGGGAGCACCCTGTCCCCTGCTCCAGCTCTGCCCCACTGACAGTGGAAAATAGATGTCGGAGTTTCCTCCCTGATGTTGTTTTTCCCTTGTGGAAACCCCCTCAGGCCTGGGGCAGGGCTGATGGGACAGAGCAGCCCTGGGTCTCTCTGGGTATTTTCAGGTGGGAAGGCAAGATTGGGAGGGTGGTATTTGTGTACAGCCTCATGAGAAATGAGCAGAGACAAAGGAAGTGCCATTTCACAGGCCTTTCATGGGGCCCCAGGACTGCTGATCCGCTGCTAGGTGGCGAGGAGGAAGCCAATGTGGGAGCCTTCCTCTGTGCTGCTTGAGGGGAAAGGAGTAGCCTCCTTGGCTCCCCCAGCCAAAACTAGCCTGGCCCTGGGAGTCCCCCTATATGGAGCACTCAGGGTACTGGGATGTGAAGGGAGGGAACTGGTGAAAGGGCCCCAACCGCCCCCCACAACTTTCCCAGCTGCAGCTGTCTTGGTTCCTCCTCCTCTTTGCTCCTCCTCTCCAGCCCCCAGTGGGTGGAGTCAG